AAATAAAATCTCAGTATTTGTTCATTAAATTAATGTTATATTTTACAAAATCACAGAAATCACTAAATATTATGTACGAAAACAAATTCATGAAATATAAAATCAATAAATGAGTCCAAATGGTATACAAATGCCTAAAAATGCCAATTAATTGTTGCAATCAATGCAATAATAAACTAAGTAATTAGAGTAGAGAAGCAGACCTTAAGTGCAAATCATATTTAAAATTCTTATCCAATATATTGAATATATTTCTAATTTACATTTTGGTATATTTTATTATTATTCATAAAAATTTGTTTTTTACGAATAATAAAAGATTCAAATCTCCAAATAAATCACAATTCAATTAAAAATCGATATACAATTCACTTATTTTTTTGTCAGTATTTTATGATTTGAACTTCATTTGCTTTTTTAACCACACCTACAGAAGAATAGCTGCTTTTAATCACATCATAAATACCGGTAATTAATGTCTTATATATAATTTTACAAATGACTCTAATCTGATTCGTTAATTATTAATCTATATGTAAAAATCATCCCAATTTACAATTATTAGATGACATCGCTTATAGCTTGCGCTGCGCTTTGAATAGTGGACACAATGATTGAGAAGTGAGCTCTGATCACATCCCACGTCCAGCTCTTAACGTTGGAGTTTCCCGTTTGGTGTAACAAAATACTGAACTCATCCATCAATCCCGGGAACATCTCATCATATGGAGGGTCTGTTTCACTCGGAGACAGAATAATATGCCGTTTCATCATATTTCGGGGCAATCCGTTCGGGTCGAGGAATGTCCGCTCGATTAGCATCAACTGATCGTTCACTCGTCTGATGGCCATCGGACTGAACACATATTACAACAAACAATTCAACTCATGTTTAAAACTCAATTCATAAAACAAGTCATTGCTTACTCTGTGAAATCGATTTTATCCTGATTTAAGTGAAATCTAATGGCAGCGGATGTAAAGTTTTTAATGGCGGAGTCCAACAGTTCTTCAAACATGACAATTATAGTTAACAATTATTTTATAAAATATAAGTATTGGTTGACTCAAAATACCGATTTTAATGCCATTGTTTGCCAGTATAGACTCGGTGTGGATGTGAAGCGTTATGTAAAGGTCTTTGAGAACCTGTGCGTAATCTAAGAGATTGAATGGTATGAATAGAGAGTCGGCGATATCTCTAATAATTTCGCCCAACACTTGTGTCACCGCTTTGTGGTATTTAAACTGGGGATCAATGAATTTGTCGATCACTTCAAACGTGTCGTATTTTGTATGTAATAATGGATTACTCATTGAATTGATTTGATTGGCGTCACTCTTAATGTCGTTAACATTGGTGTAAGTGATGTCAAGCGCAGGAATGCCGGCCACAGTGAAGAACGGCGCGTAAGACGACCGCATGTCTAACTGACGCACTTTGGGTCGGGTCTGAAGGGCCGCCGACTCCATGTATGTCTGGAGCAGAGAACCCGATTCGTTGGGCTCTCCGGCGAAGTGTTGGTTAGCGTTAAATAAATCGTTGTCGACGTCGAAGGAAGAGTCAAAAGCGTTTCGCTTCACTGATATCATTCCCGAAGAGTTCCTCATCAGTGGATAACTGATGAGCCACTTGTCGTACACTGTTTTGGCGCCTTCTTCTTCGTTAGGATTCGGCACTTCTTTCGAGGCGTTAAATATCGTGTGATATAAGAGAGGAGAAGCGGCGACACTAAGACTCCCGTTCCCAATGACCACAATATCGGAGTTAATGTAAGCGATGGCTCTTCCGTGCAATATCTTCATATTCTCTTCGATCCATTCGGTGGAACCGATTAGATTGAACTCTTCTGCGCCCCAACTGCAGAAGATTATAGACCGTCGCGGACGCCATCCGTCAGTAAGCAAATCACCAAAAACTCGAGACAACTCGAGAAAAGCTGCGGTTCCGGCCGCAGAATCGATTGCACCGTTAAACCAGGCGTCTCTATGGTTACCCACAATCACATACCGATCGGGCTCTACCCTACCCCGTATGGATCCGATCACGTTGTATATGGTTTTATTCACCAATTGATTACTTATTTTCAAATGCAGTGTTATATTAGAGTTGCCGTCATTGCGAAAACCGGGCCCTAAATTGTATGTTGTATTCGACCCGTTATTCCACGCTTTGGGAGCTTTGCTTCCGTCGAGTCTACTCAGGATTTGCAATGCGTTTTCAAAACTGATCGGTTGGACCGGAATACTAATCAATTCAAACAATTATTAGATGAGACACATGTCAATCAATGCACTGCAATAGCCATACCTCGGCAAATGAAGTGACTGTAATGGCAAACGGTGTGCATAAGAAGTGGCCGCATATCTAATGTCAACACAAATGCATTAGTTTCAGACAATACAAAGCAAACAGATAGCACACAAACCCCGGTGTTTGCGGATCTCCCAATCCATTCCAGATGAGAGAGTCGTGTCGAATGGCATCGGAAGGCATGTATTGAGAGCTTGGAAACGGTTTGAGACCAAGTGATGGCGGATTGTAGTGCTCGGGATCGGGATATAAGAGAAGAGCTGCCGCTCCCATTTGGTGAGCAAATGACATCTGTTGTACAGTTAACTCACAATTCAGATCAATTGGTTTGAAAATAATGGACAACTAAATTACCTGCTCATATCGGGATCGGGATATAAGAGAAGAGCTGCCGCTCCCATTTGGTGAGCAAATGACATCTGTTGTACAGTTAACTCACAATTCAGATGTTAACCAAACTTTTATTACCTGTTGATTTAATGGACGAGTAGTCGACAATTCACTTTAACAAACCGCTAATTCTAAAATGGTCGCTAACACAGTGCTCAATACAATATGTGTAAACTATCCTAGACATAGTCGGCGAGTCGGCCGTAGTTTACAAATATTACTGAATTCTATATTAGGAAATTAATTCACTGTTAATATTATTAAATAAATGATTGCTTTTTGCGGTGAATTTGTTTACTTTAATGTCAATGTTTGGAGAGTAGGCACAGAATGCGCCCAAAGAATCGGACCCTCTCTTATCGGCGCCAAGAGATGTATAAATAGTTTTGTTATTGTTTTGATCAATAATTTCGTATATTAACCTCAGTACCCTCAGCCCTTAGCTGTTTTCCTGGCTTATCAGAAACTAAAGGCTAAACAGCTTGAATACACGCTACTTCTTCAGGGACTGGACTGCCCGCTCACGCTCTAGCGCCCGGCAACCGGCCATATGTGGCTCTCGCGAGAACTCTCTGATCACACTTTTGATATTATTTGAGTCTATTTTCTGCAATATCTTCGCCCGAATCGTCGGATTTTCATCCCTTACCGAATGCAATGACATCGCCTATCAGTGAATAAATGGACGATACATGTGATAATCATTTCATCAAATTATGGACGGCTGACAACAACAACAATACTGACCAGATTTGGGACACACTCTGAATGCGTTGAGTGAGCGAAATATCCGATGAGAAAACCGGTCAAAATGGTTAACACGGATAACATGACAACACCGAAGAGTAGGCGTCGATTGGAGGCGAATGGTATGTCTTCAGTGGTCTTCTCATAGTAGACTTACCACGGCTGGAGCACCAGTCCGGTCCTGTCCAGGCTCAAGAGGTGAGGTAGGTCTCAGAGCAGTAGACTTTGTGTTATGTATAGTAATTTTGTGTACGTTACTCAACTGCCCAGCACTCTGACACCACAGATGGTGACCACCGGATCACATGACACATACCCCGATAGGGCCGGTACTGAGCCGTTAATGTCATGTCTTAATGTCTGTAAAAGTTGTAATCAATGGATGGTTTAATTTGATGGTCAATAAGAGATTCAATATATGTTTGTATTGTTTGTAAACATTGAATGTTTTGATGACATTTGAGTGATTAATACTAAGACAACGGCATAGGAATGGATCAATTGGCGGATCAAATGTTACGCGAAAGTGATGTCACACCTCAAGAGTTGTCAACATTTTGAGACCTGTTTTTTCACATCAATTGTCGACTACTTTATGACACAAAACAATACATCAATGAATGAGATGTACAGTAAGTGTTGCATAACTTTGGATGTACTGTACGTTACGAGTGTTGGATAGACTGGTAGGCGATGTCTTATGTGTAATAGAGTTGGGCTTTAATACCATAATAATAGTATAGCAATGGATAGCCCGGAGCTAAAGCCCGTCTCCACACCTGCGCTCTCATCACTCACTTGTCCGACAGATCTTACGCACCAATGGATCCATAGATCAGACAATTATTTGCTTTTGTGGCACTTTTTGTTAATGCTTTAAATTATACATCTTTTTCGCAATAATATCATTGCATTCATTGTATAATTTACTCAATCCTCACTTCATTTGTATAAAACTTTTTTTGTTTAATTCTTGAGTACTTTTAAATATGCCTACAAATCAACACTTGGATAGCTTTCAATAAAAACCTTTTAGTTTGTTATAAATATAAACTAATCGATGAATTACTTACACGAAGAGAAGGTTTTAAAGATATTATTTTTATTATTTGCGAAAACTATTACTGCAGTCTCTTATGGGAATAAATCCTCAATTGATTACACTTTTACGTCAAAAGACATGATATATTTTGAAGTTTTAAAAATATTTATATTTATAAATTATATTTTTAAATCATGTGATTTGAAAACTCACTGTAATTTCTGCTATTCTTATAGAGTTCCCAAATAATGGGAGTTTTGGTGAAATTTTCGGATGTGTTTCGTCTGAATTCCTGATTTATGGTAACCAATGATCCGTCGCTTAAAAATTTTAATTTCTTTTCACTCATAATTTTATATGTAATGAAAAAAATTCAACGCTTATAAAACGTAAGCTTTCAAAGCTTTTCTAGAAAATAGGTTTACATTAAATGGTAAAAGTTATGGATAATTATGATCGATATGTTTAATATTATGCCATTTCTATTGTATTGATTATTCATTCAATTGTTTTGTATGTTTACAATTAAATGCACAAAATTAGCAAATAATGAGTTGTCCTTCAAATGCAAGATTATTGAAGCGCTTCACTATTTAAACATGATATTAAATTGCAAATAACAAGTAATATTGATTTGTCAAACATATGCCTTTAGTATATTCCGTCATCAGATTTGAATTTTAATGTAACCATTGATTATATATTTACATAATTTTATTGGCTTTTAAATAATTTCAAGAAATACCAAATAAATGAGAAAAATTATAAAAATATTGTATATAAATAGATATAAATTACAATAAATAGTCAATCAATAAATTCCTTGAATATACAATCGACTAAAAAGTGTGTCAATAGTTGGCAAGACTTGCCATAAGATATTCAATTTTATTGATGAAATTCTTGCCCTCAATGCGCTCCCAATCGACTTCACGGTAACTGCCGGTCAGGTTCTGCCACTTTCGGTCCCGAACTAAAGCACTCGCGTAGAACTCTTGAGGCGAACTACACATCTTCACCTCAATTCCTGAATGCGGTCCACATCTGATCGCTATTATTCTTTAGACAAAGAATCACTAATTATTAAATGTGTAATACAATCATTACAAGACATACCGATCGCCATTCGGTGAAACCAATACTATGGAAGAGGCCGTACCGATGGGCTCTACGTGGCCGACGCCTACGTTTATATTGAGTGATAGGACTCTCCAACCCATTGGTTTTGCCAGCGCTTGAATGGCAAACACTTGATGTTGTGATACCTAATGAGTGGTAGGAATTAGTAAAGAATTGGCAAATATAACGGAAAAGGTATTCAAAACCTGATTGAGTAGTAAATAACGCAATTCTTGTGATTCGTATGACATGTTTATAACCCTTCCGTCCCTAAGAATGGCTTTTAATGATTTGGTAGAGATATGGATAACCAGAGGTGTTCTGAAATTGATTACTTATTTTCAAATGCAGTGTTATATTAGAGTTGCCGTCATTGCGAAAACCGGGCCCTAAATTGTATGTTGTATTCGACCCGTTATTCCACGCTTTGGGAGCTTTGCTTCCGTCGAGTCGACTCAGGATTTGCAATGCGTTTTCAAAACTGATCGGTTGGACCGGAATACTAATCAATTCAATCAATCATTAGATGAGACACATGTCAATCAATGCACTGTAATAGCCATACCTCGGCAAATGAAGTGACTGTAATGGCAAACGGTGTGCATAAGAAGTGGCCGCATATCTAATGTCAGCACAAATGGATTAGTTTCAGACAATACAAAGCAAACAAATAGCACACAAACCCTGGTGTTTGCGGATCTCCCAATCCATTCCAGATGAGAGAGTCGTGTCGAATGGCATCGGAAGGCATGTATTGAGAGCTTGGAAACGGTTTGAGACCAAGTGATGGCGGATTGTAGTGTTCGGGATCGGGATATAAGAGAAGAGCTGCCGCTCCCATTTGGTGAGCAAATGACATCTGTTGTACAGTTAACTCACAATTCAGATCAATTGGTTTGAAAATAATGGACAACTAAATTACCTGCTCATCAGCTGTTAAGTGAAATTGTTTNCAATTGGTTTGAAAATAATGGACAACTAAATTACCTGCTCATCAGCTGTTAAGTGAAATTGTTTGGCGATTAAGATTTTACCAGCGATTGTGTCACGAGTTATGTTATACACATTTGATAGGATCTGGTAGTCGCCGAGTCGGCCGTAGTTTACAAATATTACTGAATTCTATATTAGAAAATTAATTCACTGTTAATCTTATTACCGTATTCTTCCGTATAAACGCCCATGGGGTATTATGTCAATTTCTTAGAAAGGGTGGGGGCTTACCCGGGTAACACCCCATGCTATTTTGACTCAAAAAACGAGTCAAATGTCAAAAGTTTAATTAGAGGGTAGTGTTGTTTTAAAATACTAATACATTAATAGAGATGATTAAATGTCTCTTAAATAGGAATTATTTTAATTGATATCGATAATTAATCACTGAATTCAATAAATAAATGTATTCATTGCTATTAATATGAGATATCAACCCATGGGGTATTATGTCAATTTCTTAGAGAGGGTGGGGTACTATCCGGATAAAGCCCCATGCTATTTTGAAGTCTACCCGAGTCAGAGATACCTCACTTAAAGCCCCATGGGCGTTTATACGGGAGAATACGGTAAATAAATGATTGTTTTTTTGCGGTGAATTTATTTACTTTAATGTCAATGTTTGGAGAGTAGGCACAGAATGCGCCCAAAGAATCGGACCCTCTCTTATCGGCGCCAAGAGATGTATAAATAGTTTTGTTATTGTTTTGATCAATGATTTCAATATAATTGGAGTCATGGGAGTCGGGAATCGACAAAAGGACCGAATAGTCTTTGATTTCCGATTTGTCGAACTTATGTGCGATGAAGAAGTCCCTGACCTGACGGGCGAGTGCGAGATCGCGGGCCG